TCAATTTCTCACACCGATTCACCTGTCTGAAGTCTACTTCCGGTTTGCAGTTGATCTCCGTCTTAGTTGCAGATTCAATATAGTGGCGTGTTTTCTGCTTCTTTTTGCTTGATTTTGGTTCCAGTAGTTTGTATTTAGAAGAGCTTGTTTAAATGTACTATGTAACAATGTATACAATGCTAGAACCCGGGTTTTAAGTTACTCCAAGAGGATCAATTCGTATCTAAATCAACAATTTTTTTAGCGCATTTTTGCAAAAAATTTTTTTTGTAAAAAGTAGCTTTTAATCTCACTTTGGCTGGCTGGCTGGCTGGCTGGCTGGCTGGCTGGCTGGCTGGCTGGCTGGCAGCAAATGTGGGCGCGTAGAAGAACTCTTGTAGAAAGGCAACGGGTGTACGTGTATCTACAAGGCCGTGTAATTTGTAAACCTTGGGGACAGGGCTACATGATGTGGGGTTGGCGACATCTGGGCGTCATCCTCGAGCGTAGTATACTAACGTGAAGGTTTTTCAGTTTTTTCCTATCTTCTACTACAGTTTTGGTCCGATTCTTTTGAAATTGGTGTCGTCGGAAAGATGTTGTAAACGCGCACAACTCCTGCGTGGCGGAATTTTGTTTTTTGTCATAGGGGCGAAATTAACGACCTTTTGCGAGGCGGCGCGCGCGTCTTCGAGAAGTAGTCAGGCGCCTTTTACCTTCCGTTGCGAACTCACGCGGTTTAACGTTTCGTGAATCTCGAATCGCTGTCTCTCTTTCTCGTGTCGCCAATNAATGTGGTAGCCCCCGACACGATCTTCCTGATGGTGGAGTCAAATCTTCAAACGCGAATTGCGGGTGAACGGGACGTCGGAAGTGGGTACCGTAAAAGGGAATGTGGTAGCCCGCGACACGATCTCACTGATGGTGGAGTCAAATCTTCAATCGCGAATTGCGGGTGAACGGGACGTCGGAAGGGGGTACCGTCAAAGGAAATGTGGTAGCCCCCGACACGTTTTTCCTGATGGTGGAGTCAAATCTTCAAACGCGAATTGCTGGTGAACGGGACGTCGGAAGGAGGTACCGTCAAAGGAAATGTGGTAGCCCCCGACACGATCTTCCTGATGGTGGAGTCAAATCTTCAAACGCGAATTGCGGGTGAACGGAACGTCGGAAGTGGGTACCGTCAAAGGGAATGTGGTAGCCCGCGACACGATCTTCACTGATGGTGGAGTCAAATCTTCAAACGCGAATTGCGGGTGAACGGGACGTCGGAAGTGGGTACCGTAAAAGGGAATGTGGTAGCCCGCGACACGATCTTCCTGATGGTGGAGTCAAATCTTCAAACGCGAATTGCGGGTGAACGGGACGTCGGAAGTGGGTACCGTCAAAGGGAATGTGGTAGCCCGCGACACGATCTCACTGATGGTGGAGTCAAATCTTCAATCGCGAATTGCGGGTGAACGGGACGTCGGAAGGGGGTACCGTCAAAGGAAATGTGGTAGCCCCCGACACGATCTTCCTGATGGTGGAGTCAAATCTTCAAACGCGAATTGCGGGTGAACCGAACGTCGGAAGTGGGTACCGTCAAAGGGAATGTGGTAGCCCCCGACACGATCTGCCTGATGGTGGAGTCAAATCTTTAAAAGCGAATTGCGGGTGCACGAGGAAAGTGGGAAGCGGTTAGTGAATGTAGTAGCCTTCGACAAGATCTGTTATTGATGGTTGAATCGAAAGTGGCTAATAGAATACTGATCTGCCACACAAAAATGCGCTGAAGTCCCTTCGATCTCAAACGAGGACTTTGATAATTTTTTTCTTTGAAAGGGGAAACGTACAAATTTAGAAGATCATAAAACGGTATGAGTAAGAAGTGTCAAAGAACGATTTGGTAATTATTTAAACATAAAACGATGTCAGAACAACGGACTGAGCTCGTGAATATTCCTCAACATATCAAACAAGTGTAGGACATATATTGAGAAACTGAACTCGTGTACGCTTCAAGGCAAGCTTTCTGTTAGAAAACATTTCTATTATGAACTTGCCCTAAATGAGAATTTTCCACTGACATTTTGAAAGGATGTTAAAATCGTGTCTATTGAACCAGATGCGATGATAAAATCGTCTTCTTTTACTTATTTCTCGCATAGTAAAATAAATCAGACTTGTAAATTATTCGATAACCGACCATGTGAGTAATCACTACTAATCGATTCAAGTGGCGGTTAATAATTTACAACATCTGCATAATTAATTCTAATTTAATCAATTCATTAAAGTAGCAATGTTCGTAGTATAAGTTAATTTGAGTTCAATTGTTGCAATTCTGCCAATTAAGAATGGAGTAAATTGACTGATATAGGATAGTCAAGTTTACATTTCCTTATTTTTCTGGAAAATGCGGACAATGCGCTAAACTAAAAGGCAGTAATTAGGTGAACGCATTTTTGGTTTGCTCCGTATTTTTAAAAAATGTGCACACTGTAAACATTGTAACAAACGCCTATAGACATTATGAACACTTCTCGTACATTCCAGTAATATGAATGACTAAGTTGAAATGTGTTGTGGTAATGAAGTCCTGCGGCTCTTTAGCACTGATGTAGTACAGGGATACAGTTTTATCGGGTAACAAAAAAATCTTACTCCCTCGAAGCATCATAAAAAGCAAAGTGCCCATTACAATTAACATCAAAATTTATGAACTGGGTTATAACATCGCAAACGAAAATGATAAGAAAAAGGATATCGAAGTCGACATAAAAGACCTTAGTGTTACAACTTTGTGACATTAATTGTCCAGAAACGGCTCTCCCTTGCCTTACATGCTGGTAGGTAAATGTCCTACATAAGAGGATTACTTTATACTTTTTACGTTTATCTGCGGTATAAAAAAGTTTATTACTTAATTATCTTTAATCGCGTCATGTATACTTCTCATATTCACGGTAGTATTGGGAGAAATCATAAACTTCACCCACTACCCTGTTATACTTTCAAAACGAGATTAGCTCCGAGTACTGAAAGCAAATATTTACAACTGATTGTATGGGCCATTTTTGGGTTACCCACATTACTAAACGCCCACTTTGATAACCTTATTTGTACAGTTACATCATAATTTTCAGATTTCATATTGCCGATTTATCTGCGCCAGTACGTACTGCGATAAACTAACATATGACAGGCAAATAAACTAAAATTAGTAAAGAAACAATGAATGTGTTGATGTTTTCATTTCTGTTTTAGTATTTTATTTTCAGATAGTGCAAAACAATGTTATCTGCTGTTATTAATTTATTTTTGAAGCAATAAGTTATTATTAAAAGTATATATTGTGTTTTTTAATAGAAATATCTTTTATCATGCAATATAGAAAAAGTATTCTTGCAGTTGATTATTTTTCAGTATGTTCAGCATTTTAAATCATTATTTCCTCCTGATGCGTCCGATAAGGCTCACAATAGGACCAAAATGCGTTCCCAAAAATATTTTACGTTCCTAACTTTCACAATTTGTTTTCTTAAAATTTGTTAGTCGATTCTTTGATAGACAGAAAACCTACGTGATATAAATTAAATAATTAAGACAAATGGTTAAATATGAAAAATATGGCGGTGAGTAGGTATTCAATTTATGTAATATTGGGAAAAATATGAGTTTACTAAGTAGATCCGTCCACTTTAGCCCAAAACTATCGCTTCTGATGCAGGGAATATTCCGCTATAGTTGTTGTAATCTTTTTAGCCGAGAAGGACAGGGACAAGACAGCATTTGTTTCTCCCCGGGGGTTCTATCGATACAAACGCATGCCCTTTGGACTTCAGTGTCGCATTTTTATTAGTTAACAGTGTTTCTCGTCTAATTGCTAGGCAACAGATTTTCATTACCTAAACAACCCAAATTTACTCGGTAAAATACAAACCTCTTGTGCAATTATAAGTGACAAATTAACGATAAAATATCCCACGGCTATGTGTTTTATTCAAATTTCCGTGTAGTGAAATTCTAATATACCAATTTTCAACTGATCCTCTGTCATTGCCGGCGCATCTGTTTTTTAACGAGATTTGAGCGTCTATGGATCCATCATCGTTCGTTTGAGAAAAAAGTAATTACATGTTTTTTTAGAGTTTTCTGGTTTAACAACTTTTATTTAAAAATTTTTCCATTTGACAAAAAATTTAAAACAAAACTACGAAAACGTCCTAATTTGAAGTATATATTTTGATAAAATCTCATTAGGTTTCATACGGATTTGTGCGCGGATTTTTCCCCATACGTAGCTGCACCCAGCACATCAAGACCCTACATTCCAATTTTCAGTTTATCCCCTTTCGTGTGCTATGGCTGTACGCCATATGGAAACACTAAAGTCACAATATCAGAAATTAGATCTGTTGTAGAATACTCCTATTAGGGGAAATTCGCAACTGGAAATATTGATTTTTGATTATAATTGCAAACAATAAATTCCGAGAGGGCTTTATTCATAACCCACATCGCTATTTATCATGCAGTTATGACATTAACTAAACCCAAAAAATTATTATGCGCAGTACGTAAAACAAACTCGAAGTTTCCTCAGTTTTAAAAATACAAACTTTGTAAGTCCATAACTTTTCTTCGTCGTATAATGATTTAGTGTTCGAGCGGTACGTGAAGGGGTAGAATTTCATTATGCCTAATTAAGCAGTATTGGAAAATAATTAGAACTTCTGTTCATGCACATAAAGAGGTGGCTTTTGTGTACTAAAAGAGACTACATTTTTTAATCTCCATCTCTATGAACATATTCCATGTCTTAAAACGCGAAGGAAACGCGTTTCTTTCATTCTAAACGGCTTTCAAAAAAAATAATCGTAACGTTAAACGACAATGGCCTACGCCCACACTCAGTTTAGTTCTTTGTAGAAATTTAGAAAGGCTGTTTCCTTTTCAATATCTCAACATGCTAAAAGGGGATGAACGCTTCGTTCTAATGCCGTAATTTCACATTTTAATAAAAATAAATCACTTACCGAGTCCCAAATCGACCCAATGTTCCACGACGCTCCAGTTAACACTTTTTGCCACTCTGTTTTTCAGAGCTAACAACTGACACAAATCACTCGTGCACAGGTTCCTCTCTACCACGACACTTTGGAAACTACCGTCGTCGTTGTAGAACTGTAATTCCTCCTGAAAAAAAGAGAAAACGAACACATTTAGGTTGTATATTTTACAGCCAGGATGTTACCTACACGCACACAATTCGAAGTGGCTTTGTCTTAACAATAAAACTGAACAAATTATTTATTCTTTAGAAAAAACAACCAACATCCATAATCATGAATGGTTAATAAGGCACATATTCCCTAGTTTCATGCATTGGTATTTTACAAAAATTTGAGATAAATACCTTCCCGTAAAAATTTACCTCAGATCATAAACCACCTGCGTTCCAGTTCATAATGTGACACCAATCATAAGACGAGAACCAGACGGGGAGGGGGGTGCTATCAAACACAAACAAGATGCTCTCTTCAATTATTTAAATTTTTAAAATGGAGCGCCAACTTACAAAATTAAAATTATAATGCACTATTATACTATTCTTTACACTGTGAGACCAATTTTGTGCTTTGATTTTCCGAGCACATTTATTAATCTGAAAAGTATTTAGAAAATCTTTCAATCCTTGCAAGAACTTTTGAAAAATTATTCGCCTTGAACCCAAATTTCCACCCGGAAACCACTCCCGAGCATCTAATCCACTAGACAAAGCTCACCAAAACACCAAGCTGTACTGTTCCTAGAGAATATCAGAAAAATCACCCATGAATGTTTTTCTACAATCGATATCCAAAGTAGCGCAAATGCCTATTTGACAACGCAAACGTCATCTTTTTCGAGGAATGTCACTTTGTCGCTTATAAGCGACAAAATAGAAAAAACGCTCGCTTTCCCAATTATTTACTATAAATCAAATATGCATTGCTCAGAGTATCCAATGACAACGAGTAAATGACATCTTTCATTTGGGCATAAGATTAAAATGATTTGAGTGAAAAATTTAAATTTCTGGAAATATGTGAACTGATCGATTGTAGAAAAAATCTTGTGTGTAATTCGAGCGCAAATTGATTGTCGATTTCAAGAGATTGCCGCGCTCCTTCGTCGCGCGTCAACTGTCTCTTTCAATCGACAATATATCATTTTGCGCTCTTAATACACAAATAGCTATTTCTAGAGAACACTTCCCAAAAAAGCAAATGTTACTTTGCCATGCAGAAAGTGAAAATGAACGTGAATTGATGCGAGTGATTTCCGAGATAGGCCCGTGTCAATTTTTAACTAAACGTCAATGTTTCGTCCACTTTCGCATCACTCATCAGGATTCTCAATCTATTTAAATTTTTGAAAAACTCGCTGAAAAACCACCAGAACGCATTAGTTTTCGTGAAGATCACTGAAAAGGTTGACAATATAGTTAGCACTCCAGTAGTGTCAAGCCCGGCTATCCCCTCTCCCCTTTTTTCTGATGACACAGTGCTGCATTGTGATTGGCTGCGCCATTTTGTTGCGGTAAATTTGAAATTGTGCGGGAGACTTGAATTGCTGTTCCGGATGTCGGCCATTTTGATGCGGTAAATTTGAATTTGTGTTGGAGATTTAAATTTGCGGGAGATTTGAATTTTTGAATGTCGGCCATTTTGATGCGGTAATTTTGAATTTGCGCGGGAGATTTGAATTGTAGAATTTCCGAATGTCTGCCATTTTGTAGCGGCAAGTTTGAATTTGTGCGGGAGATTTTAATTTTTGAATTTCCGGATGTCTACCATTTTACAATGGGAAGTTTGAATTTGTGTGGACGATTGGAATTTTTTAATTACGGATGTCTGCCATTTTGTTACGGTAAATTTCAATTTAAGCGGGGAATTTGAATTTGTTACTGTCATCTTAAATATACAGGGTGTAATGATAGTTATATACGTGGTATTTGTGATCGATGTTTTTGCACGGGTGCCAATAGGTCGTTAACTGGTCGACCATTTTGTTCCGATGAGACCAAATTTAATTGCGTGTGTCTGTATATTTGAAATTAAATATATAGGGTGTAATGATAGATATACATAGGATGTTTGTGTTCGGCTTTTTGGTCCAAAATTTGCCATGGTGATTATGGCACGTAGACGGGAATGCTTTTATTTCTGTTTGTAACGTTATATTCCAGAGGGCTAGCCCAGAGGGTATTGTGAAAGCTGAAACTTTGGTATAATGACACAAAAATATGCCGATCGGTTGCAAGACGAAGCGCGTCGTCTGTTTTACAATACGACGATAACGTTAAATAATACAGGAATCAAAATTCTGCAAATACGACTTAATGTATTAAGTGATATGTGTTGTTGTGCGAGGATTTTGAAAATGAGTCGTGATCAAAGTGTGTATTTCAATTATGAGACTTCTATACGAATCATCGATTGCTTAAGACTTGTTGACAGTGTTATAAACAGAGTGTACGATAGAAACAGTTCGTATGTGAATAGCCAGGATTTACATATCGTTGTCCGTAGTGACGAACATAAATCAAATAAGTATGCTATTGTACGATCTAGTTTGTAGGTAACTTCACTCCACATTAGAACTTATCCAGAAACGAATGGAAGAAAATTGAATAGTAGACTAGTTTACTACCGTTTGCAATACGTAAAAGACAAAAATATGAATTAACAAACTACTGTCACTAGTTTAATACTATGCGTAGGTGTCTTTTTACACAAACGAGGGCAAAAAAAGTTCTTTAATTACAAATTGCTTGTCTAAATACACTTTCAATTTAACAACTGTGTATTCTTTATCGATATTTATGAATTAGATCGAATAGGAAAGGGGGATATTGCTTCATGGCCTTAGAAGTCAACATAATTTATAACATTGCTGTTTCTACTCTGAGTAGGCCTTATTCTGTGCTTCTGTTCACCCATATAGCATAGCGAGGAAGACTTTTTCAGGTCCTACTGTTTGTTCACCCAGAGCATAGGACCACAACACCTAAGTATACTGTTGGCTCATATAGCGTCGGTGCACCAGGTCATATTGTTCACCCATAGCGTAGAATCGTCTTCATTCGTGTTACAGCTGCATTAGGGCCTTCACTGTTTTAATAGCGTGACAGTCCTATCAATAAAAGTCGCTGACACGAATCTCCATATCTTCCTTCCCTCGAATCTCCGCAGAAACAGAATCGACTCAATTATCACCACGCCCCGTAACACTTCAGTCGTCCTCACCTAAGAGAAGAAACCGCCAAACCGCCAAAGTGGTGACAGTTACATACGGCCCCCCACCGCTTACATAGAGTCGTTATACCGCTGGCTGAACCGAAGCCCACGTCGAAGTTCCTGTAACCCCCTCACTACACGCTAAATAATTAAAGAATTTGCGAGTTTATTTAGAAAATCAACATTTTTGATTTCGAATAGGAAAAGTTCAACCGTTTTTACCGCAAAAGCCTTTATTCTCTATAATAATGGCATGTAACTCGTATTTCCATTTGCGAATGAAGGCAATTTAATGAATACATGAGAGGTATGAAAATTACAGAACATGGAACAAAAATAAATTGTGGGGTATTGGGGGATATGCTTCTAAAGCCTACAGGTAAATCAACTAATTAAAACTTTGGAGAAGCGCCCGTTAAGAAGTGTCAAAGTTGTCTATCAAATGATGCATCGTGTTACTATTTTCCCGATTAAATTAAATTTTACATCCCTAAATGAACGAACGCATAGGAGAGAGGGAAGTCAAAGAGCCTTATATGTAATTAACAATTCAGGCGTGAATTTGAGGATCAAGTCGGCCCGTGTGCATATTCGTAAATAGCCCCGCAGCATTTTTGTACAACTTTGCTTATCAAAAAAATTTAAGAAGACAAATCTTAAACCTGCAAATAACCTAATAACCTCAGCTGATTAGGATACGCGTTCTTTGTGAAATAAAAAAAACTGTACACGCAAAGCATCGAACCCGAGCCGCTCCATTGCCCGCCGAAAATCCATGCCACTAAACGAGCATGACACACATTCAATCATGATTAAACTGGGTCCACATTCCGAAGTAGTTGTGCTTGTGGGGAAGCATGCGCGTGTGGCGCAGTGGAGTGATATTGAACATTTTTCTTGTGTATTATCTATACAATTCGAGACATTTGCTGGTGTACTGTGGGCAGGAACTTGAATGTATCAGAAGCTGAAATAAAGCCGAGCTCAGAAAAACATCATGTCTGGAAAAGATAAAAGAAACTTGATGACCTTCAAAGGAAATTGAGGGAAACTTCAAAAGAACATGAAGGGAATTTGAGGGAAACTCGAGAAAAATTTAATGGGATATTGCGGCCATATGGGCGGGAGAACACGAAGATCTTGAGTGGCATTTGATTGTAAATTGGGGGAAGCTGAAAAAGAACGTTGCCAATGCTTAAGACGAATTTGAGGAGTAGGTACTTGACAACAAGAGTGGTTTATGTTGAAATTGAACTTATAGAGCATGAAAGACATTTGAGAACTTGAAAATGATAGGGATAGGGTTCTTTCGTTGATTGCAATAACTGAAATAATTCTGCGCTCTCTTAACACCATCTTTTCAAGTCTTTTTATTGTCTCCTGTAATGATCTTCCTCAAGAGGCCTACCAGATTTTGGATCATAATGTATGGATTCTCGGCTGAAAGTGTTTGATAGTTAAAAATTATTGCGTTTCATCATTGTCATTGTCATCGTCATTTTCATGACTAGGCAGATTCGTTCTCCTCGTTAACAGAGAAAAACTGCGTAGGGGACAATCGACCAAGTTTCAGGATGTAAATTTGGCATTTGTATCGAACATTCGACCGGAGTGCTTGCGTAAGAAGAACGGCTATCATCTACAAAGGTTGCTGATAATTATTGACCCTCATTACAATAATCTTACCCAAGTGACCAGCGAAGAAAATGTACTTGGATTTAAAGAGAAAGGTACATTCAATGTGCAAGAGTGGAAGTGACTAACTGCAACTGCAGAGATATAAAATCGATGAAATTGCCGATTACCATGCGTTGATAATCATTTCGAAACGTGCGAAAATAGACGAACTTTGTCCCAACGTCAATCTACAATGTTCCGTCACCGGGAAATGAATTTTTCATAATTAAAATATGCAAGGCGTTCTATTTGTGCGTTCAATCAACCGGCAATAACACAGTGCTCTTAATCTTATCGATAGTTTCAAAGACACTTGAACTTTTTATATTCTCTACGACGCAGTTATGAATGAAAGTGATAAAGCCCGCTACACACGACTTTTACTCGACGACCTTAAGATTAGTATAATGCCAAAAACCGTACCTCCTTCTCATTGGTTAGATCCTTATCTTCAGGTAGGAGCAAGTGGAACTCCAAAATACGCTCATCCAATCTTTCGTAATTACTCGTGCTCTCTGGACACGCGCACTTCGTCCTCGGAAATCGGCACCAATCTGAAAAAGAACGGTACAGTTAACCACACAATCATAAAATCCAATACCTAAGCGTTTAAAATTAACTACATAGGGACTATCCAGTATTTTGGATACGGCGTGCTGCACTTCATTTTTGAACGTCCGCGACGGCGAAACGCGATTTTCCATGGCCGACGCGAAGGGCGGACAGCATATATCAACAATAATGTTATGGAATTTCCGAACTAACCGAAATAAATTAACGTCATCTATTAAACTCAATCAATTAGATATGTTACTTACAAAAAATACGTCTTGATAAGTAATCGTCAAATTTCGTTTCTAATCGCGCCGACGCATTTTAAATAGGCATCAGATAATGAAAAGGTCAATTATTGGGTCACGTGCCTTTTATATCGTTCGATAAGACAAAAGTATACAATCAATCAAGGGCCAGCGAGTCCCGTCGCCAGATTGGGTGGAATGTTTTGTGGAATTTCGCATTTGGTAGTGTAGATAAACAAACATATCATGGAAATCGGGGTGAAGTTCGATATAACGAGATAATGGTGATATCGTTAAAAGAACGGGGCGCTTTTTTTACAAATAAACTGTAACCTTACATTTTAGATCAGTCGCACCGCCCTGTGCAGTAAAAATGATAGATAGACATCAGGCGTACAATACCTATTAGACCATAACTACAAAGAATGGACGAAGGAATGTACAGGCTGTTTCAAATGCGTGGCGCACCATTTGAATCTCCGTAACGGTGGAAGATACAGTCTAGGTTAAATGAGGGCAAAGATACCCCTTTTGTAACTAAAAAAATGGATTTAAAATGTTTGAAAAACCTTTGAAGATATCACGGAAAAACTGAACATGACAAATTTCGTTTCATTGTCACTAATATAAACGGTGGGAAATGGACAGTTCCTGTTCGCACCTTTTATGGGCACTTTTTTTCGGAGATTCGGAATCTGGTATCAGAATTTCACCCTAGATGTAGAAGCTGCAGGCTACTACTTAATTATATCTTATGGACACCATATTGGATTTTTATGGAATGAGATAGAGGACGAAAAAAGAAAAAGAATGAGGTACCACCCACTAATTTACAAGAAAAATTTCGATACAAATGTTTTAAAACATTTTCATTCCTCAACAAAACATCCACCAGTTATCTTGATTAATAAACATTATTTTTTATTTTATTTCTCTTTTATTATCCTCTATCTCAGTCCGTAAAAATCATCTGGCATCCATAAGAAACAAGAAAGTAGGAAACCTGTAGCTTCTACATCTAACCAGGCGTTTAAGCTAGGAAAAATGAAAACTATTTTTGACATTCAGTTTTTCGGTGCTATCTCAGTTACTTCAAGATTTTTTAAAAATTTAAATTGCGTCTTTTTAGACACAAGGAGCACGTTTCATGCCACAACCTACACTGTATGTTTCGCCGTTACGAAGATCCCAATGGTGCCACGAATTTGCACCACCATGTACTACCGGAGAAAATTAATTATTATTTTTTTACTATTTCTGGGAAAAGTCTATTCACTTAAAATCACAGATAGACAAAGAATGGATACCAATTTAAATGCCTTAGCTGTACTTAAAAGTGCCCTCTATGTAGCAGCAGTATAAACATGTCCTTTTCAAAACTGTTAATGAGGTTCAGTAAAATTACGCTTACGAATGTGCTTTAAATTATTGCAGCCACATCTAATGCATAAACCGTAAGCGTAATTTTACTAAACCATCCCTTCTGAAGTTAAATTTTTTTCTGAAAAATAATTATATGATCCACGACTAGCTCTAAATATAAATTTCTGTAACTCAATGGTTCAAATACTAATTTTCTCACTTTTCCCTTATATGTATCTGAAAATCATTTTTTTAACCTCGAGTCTAGCTTCCTAGATCGCAAACAGAAAATAGTTACGGCACTTTGAAATTCAAAACTTTACCATTTCCTTGGGAACACCCTGTATCACTAAACCCAACTTGTTCGTTATGAATGTGTAGCCCGGTTTACTCGGGTTAAAATTATTTCTCAAAGGTATTTCCTAACTTTCAAAAACAAGGTCGCTACGATTTATCAAACTGGGACTTGCTTATGGGGAACTATTGGGAAAAAAATTAATACGATGGCAACATTGACAAAAAATCAAGGTTGTGACATGTAAAAATATAAAGGGTGTTCTATTTAAAAAAACACGAAGACAAAAATAAAAGCTTAACTTTTCGTAAGAAAACCAGCGATAGATGGTAACGATAAAATGTATCGATATTGCATGCATTTTAAACTTTTATTCCGTGCAAATTTGAAAATATAGTAATAATGGAATAAAATATTGTTGTCGAAAATAAGTAGAGGGCAAAGTGTACATAATAACGTTTTCGGTTATTTTGGGCTTTAAGAATGCCCCCAGGAAAATACGATTAAAATACAACAAAAATTGCGTTTTTTTTCTGTTAAAATGTTTTATAGCCTTCTAGAGACTTCATAGAGTCTAGTTGGGATTTGGGGGAGGCACGGTAACATATCTGGCCCATGGCCTATTTGAACTGCCGTTACTTGACGGTCAAGTACTTTATGGATTCCTGAGTTGAAGATTGCCTGACAGTAACAGCATCACGTGCATTTAAAAATCAGGTCTTAGCCATTTTACGTTTGTTTTGTTACCATGTAATTACCCATTCCAAAAACGGAAAAATTACATATAATAAAACCTAATTTCTCGCTTCGTTGTGTTTATTTGTAATGCCCATTAAATTACAATCGTTCGACTGTTATTATCTCTTTATAACTGAAGAATGTTATAAATCTAATTTTAATACCACATATAATTGTACCGTTAAGTTTTATGATATATTGTGCATCGCTGACTTGACGACGATTAAATGAGCTTCACACAACAGGTGTATGGCCATAGATCAAAGAGGGTAATCCTAAACTGATCTGGCACTATAACTATTTTCATTGGCTAGAATTGTGCGATTTCTCTTTTGTTTTTAGAAAAGACTGAGATTGATTATTGTTGCCAAAATACGTCCCAAATTAATGTATTCATTTCTATAGTACTGTCGTGTTACACGATGTCCCAACGAAAATTTGTACCCCCTAAAACTCCAAAAAGTACGCACAAATATTTTTTCACGACTACTGCGGGATACTATCCAAACATGGGCAAAATCTTTCTTTACACAGTTATGCAGCAAACTTTTCACTTATTCATCAATTTGAAAAATGTGCTATTGATATTGTCCATAAATAATTATTTAAAGAGTACATCCAACCCCAATGCCAGACACTTGAATTATATTATGTCTATGGTTTAGCACTTGATTAAAGAATATATTGTGTAGCAATAGCGTAGGGGCTATGCGAAGTTGATTTGATATTGATTACCAAATAATTGAAAATTAATCATATTATCGGTTAGTTCCTTATCAATTAATCAACCTTAAAATCGAAAATTTCTGAATTCAATTTTTGTGATTTGAGATTCTTCCATTAAATCATTTAAAATCGCTTCGGGGCATACCTACATAATAAGTTTACAACCTAATAATTACATGCGATTGTCCATTAATCGATTAATTACCTCAACACCACCCGCTACATAACTAGATTCAATACCTCCTATTTAAGACTGCATCATTCAAAACTGCTTCGATGTATAACACGTTTTCTTCGTTATGTAATAATCACATTCTGTCTAGCCTCTAGCTAGACTTTTAACGTCATTTCACTCGATGTCTCATTCTTATGACGCAAGGGCAAATTTCTAGCTAGATCAATAATATGTACAACCAAGGAGCACCAATTAATCTGCACTTATATAACTTATATTCTCTTTGGTACAAAATATCATTTGTTAGCGATTTTTCCTGGGGAAAACAAATACAATATTGATCTTGGATCATATATATTCCATAGATATAGCCTATAGCTACTAAATCTATGCCAATATATGTGAGAGAGAGATCCGTCGTAGAGTTAAAATTTTGCTTTTGTTTAGTTAACGTAAATTGAATTATTGGTTCTTATCGAGTATTAATAATGGTTTTAGTATACGATTTACTTGATTAGTGTCAGACTTCAGACATTGCTATTGCCTCTTGTTTGCTTGTTCGTTGGTTTGTGTTGATATCTGTTACAGATAAGGCAGAACGCGCCCCTCTGAGCTCAAAAAGCGACCTGTAGTTCAAAGGCAATTTTTTTATATTCGTCGTTTCCTTGATATAACATTTGATTACATACTAGTTTTCAATACAATCGAATTGTAATTACTACACACCATTTGCCCAAAATGGGAGCTTCGCTGAAATTCTGCCCCACATGTCATTTTGTAATCATTAATTCAATCCTATAAAATACTTATTGCTAAATAAGCTATGGCAGATTGTATAATTAAAGGAGAATAAAAATATTTATTTCAAAATTATGGCTCCGTTGTTTTCTGCGGAAGCCCGTTTTGATTTAAATAGCTTTCCATACTACGAGTTGATCCCCTTTTTGATACAAATTGAGTTGAATTTAAACATTGACATCATTTATGAAATCACCCTCGATTGTGACCACAATTATTGTCTATGTTCTACCCTGTCAATATTTTATTTATTTAGCTTATCAAGACCAAAACAAGTATCTCTTAGCCAAGAGATTTTCTTTGTTTGAACTCTGAGCAAACTCTTTAAAACAAAACTGACCGTGACTGAATGTTCAATTACAATGTAATACAAAAGGCTTAAAATTTGCCTTTTAGCTTGAATTCTTTAAGAATGTAACGAGTGGTTTGATTTCGCGCCAAATTTCATTAAAAATTTCGAATTTCTTGTCATGATAGTGCAGGTCACCCTGTATATTTCATTATTTGTTCCGGTTAGAAATTTTGTGTTTGGGCATTTCGGTTCGCTCAAGACTATGGTCCGATAGATTTAATTTCGCTCAGATTTAATTTCGTCGTGGGAAGAGTGCAAAGCTGATTGACGTCATCATGAGTAATGCGAGTTGTTTGTCGTTAGTTTAT